ATGAATAGATTAAAATGCATTGACTTCCCTTCTAGTTTATCTCGATTACAAATATATCTCGTTTATTTTTAAAACACATATGAACATCTTTTGGAATCAATAATTTTAAAACACAAAATTTCCCTTCTATTTTCAAAAATTTATTTTCATCTGTACAACCATTAATTGATTATTAAGTCATATGTATTATACCAAAATACCCTTATGAAGTATTATCTAAAAATCATTTCATTCATATTTTAAACTTTTTAATTAATTTTAGAAATTTTTATTTAGTAATTTTTTAAGAAATATAAATACAAAAGTTTTCTAAAATCATATTTCAAACATTATAAAAAATAATGAAATAGTAATGTATGTAATATATAATAAAAAATAAATTAATCAATATAATTTACATTTATTTTCTTTAAATTTATTTAGTTCAAACACAATATTTCTAAATTATTTATTTAACTATTATCATAATTATTTAAAGTTCCTTAAATTGAGGGGGAGATCATATAAAATTATATTACAAGGGCAAATTAATAATTTTTATTTTTTTAACATAATTAAAAATAAAAAATTATAGCATCTTATAACATTGGACAGAATATTCTTAACGATGTTAATTAGAAATTGAACTAAAATGTAAGTTTTAAAAATAGAAGAGAGGTCTTTATAATTTTAGCAAAATAGGGGGGAGGTCATTGTACTTTACTCATAAATTAAACAACGCAATTCATGAATTGCAACAAGTTCTTATAAATTTTCTTATATATATTGATGGATAATACAAAATGAATAAATATATCTATTAACACTTTAGACTTATAAGACACCAAAAATAATTAAAGATAGTAATGAATTGCAAGAAGTAAATTGCGTCTATAATTGACCAATAGGAAGGGTAAAAACTAAAAGAGCAATCATGTCAAATATATTTCGACTTGGAAAAAAAAAAAAATTATCAACGTGATATGTAAGCAGAAAACAGTAGGGAGAGGTAAAATCGAAAAAGTGAAAACGTTTATCTATTTTCCTATTCTCATTGGAATTACAGTGCATAAATATATTTTTTTCAAAAACGGAAAAATTTAAAGGTAAGGTTTTTTTTTTTTTAGTGGTACTAGTTTGCAGGATTTCCGATTTATTCCCAAAAATCGGATCTTTCGAAGTTCACAGCTTTGCGGTGCTAAAGCTCCAAAGCTACTCTGTAAAAATGAAATCATGGCCACCACCCTAATAAAAAAAGCATAATCAGTGTGAACACTGAGCGCAGACTAGTTTAGTTGGGATGAGTAGTTACGTTCCGGTCTTCAAAAAACTTTCCAAGATTCTAATAAAAAGAGAAAGAAAAAGGAGTGAAAATAAAAATATAAAATCTTTAAAACTTATAAAAAGATAACCATTGAGGGCATATATATTAATATATACTTATATGTTAAAAATATAAATATTTTTTAAAAAATTAAATGTTAAAAAATATGAAGTATTTTTAATTTTTGAAATCTAATCATTTTTTTTTAAAAGCACCTTTATTAATAGTAATTTTATATTTATTATAGGTATTTAATAAAAATAAATATAAAAATATAAATTTAATTTAAAAATATATAATTATTTTATTAAAAGATGAGATTTAATTAAAAATATTTTATATTTTTTAATTGAAGGATATATATACACCCCATCTGTCATACTCATACATTTTTGCCATCACAACGTGACTTTTTTTAAAATAATTTTTGTGCGTGCAATAAATAATGCATCACACATGCGGTGGTTGATAATGATAGCTGAATTTTACCTTCCTTCTAAGTTTTAATTCTAATATATCAACTTGGTTACCATGTGCGTATATATGGACTTGTTTTGTTCTATCTTTTGTTTTTATGTTTTTAAAAATGAAAAAAATTAAATAATTAATTTAAAATATATATTTAAATTAGTGAAATAAAAGGTGAAAAATAATTTATTTTATTAACTTAATTATCATTAACAAAAACATAATATTTTCGGTCTTTCCTTTAGTTTTGAAGAATAAAAATAACAAAATGCTTAAAAAATATTTTGAATTTTTAGTTTTTCAGAATAATTTTTATTTTTATCATTTTTCAGAACAATAACAGAAAATATATTTTAAACAAGCTTTTTTATTTTTTATTTTTGAAAAATAACTGTTCTATCCATATGTTTGTTCTACATTTTGGCGCACGTGACCTAAAATTAGAGGTCCCAAAACTTGCGTGTTAGGTGTGACCACGGTTTGGATGCCTTGATGGGGGTCATGCATCAAAAAGTTTAATTCAGTACTGTCCATCACTTTTAATATATCAAACGTGTGTGATTACCCGTTTATTTAATATTAAAATAAGTAATTTTTAAATAATTTAAAAATTTTATTAAAAATTCATTTTATAAATATTTTGTATTTGGTTACAATAATAATAAATAATTATTAATTATTTATTTTTAAATGTTATCATATTTTTTTATTTTTTTTTATAAAACTAATTTTTATTTAATTATTTTAAAATTTTATGATGTCTTTATATATTACATCTTTTTAAAATATTTTTTCTCATTTATTATATTAAATTATTTTTAAAAGCTATTTAATGTATCTTTTTAAAATATTAAAAATTTATTTTTTTATTTTGATTATTTTTAAGAGTTTAATAAATATCATAAAAACTCACAAAATTTATTATTTTTAAAAAATAATTTTTATAAAATAAATTGAAACAAAAGAGCTCTAAGATACTTCCTCCGTTTAGAAATATAAAGTATTTTTAATCAAATTTTACCTCAATAAAATAGTTAACTATTTTTAAATAACTCTATCTTTTTATATTTATACCTATTATAATAAATATAAATTCACTATTAATAGAGATATTTTTTTAAAAAAAGTAATAATTATACCTCAAAAAATTAAAAATATTTTATATTTTTAAATAAAAAGAATAATAAATAAAATATTCGTGAAAAATAAACTCGTGAAATGAGCTGCAGTTGACATGCCGTAATTGTGGTCGCATCTTTTGACGTAAAAAGAACGAAAAGAATCTGGCTGAAAAAAGATAAACCGTTGGATTCTTTATACATGATGCCATGATGGAGATTGGGGCCGAACAATGAAGACTTGGTGTACATGATCCACTCACACCGAACGCGTTGTCGTTTCGGTTCGTTTCGTCGTTTACGCTGTCTAATAATCTTACGGGAAAACTTCTTTGGCTTCCTCAAACGAACTGTGGAGTCTGGCACTGGCCCTATGGACGCTTCATTGTTTTAAATTTAACATGTATTTTATTTTGAATGAAATGGTAGGTTCTAAAATAGATATAATTTTCATTTTAATTTTATCACAATAATTTAACGGAAAATTATGGGTACATTGTTCTTTCTGTTTCTCCCAATATATGAGACTCAAATTATAAATTTTATTCAAGAGATACATAATTGAGTTGGTCACTACCGAAGAAAATTGGGATTTGGAACACTAGCTTGTAGTCCATTAGTCAATGAAGTATCTCAAAGGAAATTAAAGAAAATACTACTCGTTTCACCCAAAAAAAAAAAAAAAAAAACTACTCATTTCACCATGCATTCGTTGGTGAGGGGCACCTGGACAGCGCTTCGTGTCTATCATGTGTGTATAAATGATTGAAATAAATATCTCATGATAGAAAAAATCGTTGAATTCACAATTTATGATTTCTTAATTACTCTCTTTGATTCTGTTTATGTGATATATGAAATTTTTTTATTTTATTTATAAATTATTTTACTCTCTCCGTTAAAAACGGTAAGATATTTTTAACTGAATCTCACTCTACAATAAAGTAGTTATCTATTATCAAACGGACTTTATATTTTTATATTTATTTTTATTAAACACCTTATAATAAATATAAAGTTATTCATGAATAAGGATATTTTTTAAGAAAATATAATCATTATATCTTAAAAGACTAAAAATACTTTATATTTTTTATTATCATACTTCTCAAAAAATGCTTTATATTTTTAAACGAACAGAGTATTAAAATTTCATTACAAATTTTTTCTTTTACCTTCCATTGAAGTTAGGAAAAAATTGTTAAAACATATATATTTAATAAATACAAAATTTAAAATTTATTAAATTTTTTAAACATAATTAATGAGTCTTAATTTTTTTAATTTTAATAAAATACGTTAGGAGTAATTCATAAATAAAATTATAGAGCAGTGTTTTCGGGCCACGAACCATTAATTGTTAATTAAGGTCGTGGCATACGCGCGAATCCAGGAGTGAATGTGTTCCCCAACAATGAGGAAGGCCATTTCAAGCTCTGACGATGACTTGATCTGAAGCATAGAACCATATCTCTGGTTGTTATTGGTGTGAAAAACCAACACATGTCAACTTTCCACACAATAATTCTTCTCATGGTACGCTTAAACACATCATTCACATGTATTTCCGGGGGGGAAATATCTGACATACATACATACGCGCACATCACACGGGATTGATATCACTCGAGACATATATTTTGATAACTAAATTTGTTGACCCCAAACTAGTTTGACTTATTATATATTTTTTCATTTTTTTTTTTTAAATTATTTATATTAACCTTATCAATATCAATATAAAAAATATAAAATTTTAAATTTTAAATATATTTTTATATAATAAATTTAAGAAATGATGTCATATTATTTTTTTCTTATAAAAATAATTTTAAAAATACTTTTAAATATTATTTAAAATCTTTTACGTGATTTATAAAAAAATTAAATAATTTTTTAAAATATATTTTATAAATGAAATCAAAAAGTGTAATGTGCATGTGTACGGTTCAGAGTCCTGATGAATTGATACTTGATAGCTTACTATTTAATTGTGGACCTGAAGTACCCGAAAGCAGCTGTAAATGTAAACATACATGCATGCATAGGTCCCAGAAAAGCAGACCTGAAGTACCACGCGTTGCGTCTCAAATCTCAGACCTTTTTCCTTTCTTGCTTTTCCTCCGTGAGAGAGAGAGAGAGAGAGAGAGAGAGTCGCATCTAATCCTCTGATACAGACACACCGCTCTGCTTTATTTAAAGGTCACCACAGGCAGTTAGTTACAATTATCCAACAGGTTATACAACCGAGGAACCCCTCATAATATTGTTGAGATTATGGAGAGCATTCCAGCTTCTTCATCCGGAGGCGACAGAAAAGCCATAGAGAGGAACAGAAGAAGCCAAATGAGAACTCTTTGCTCCCAACTCAGCTCTCTCGTCCCTCGTCAATCCCCTGGGGTACTTCTTCGTTTGCCAATTAATCAGCTCCTCAGTTAATTAGTATTCGTTTCTGCAGTGTGAATTATACGTTTGAATCTGGTGGTGCAGGAGGTGATTTCGGTGTCGGATCAGCTGGGTGAAGCCGTGACCTACATAAAGAAGCTTCAGATGAAGTTGGAGAAGATGAAGGAGAAGAAGCTCAGCCTCATGGGAATCAGTGACGAGGAGACGAATGTTGATGAGAGACAGAAGAAAAAGAGAGGAATTGTTATGGGGTCGAAATCACCCCAAGTTGAGATTCACCAAATGGGTTCCACATTAGAGGTTTCTGTGATTTCTGGGTTGGATTGCCAGTTCATTTTCAACGAGTTCATTCGCATTCTTCACGAAGAAGAAGCCGATGTTGTTAACGCCAGTTATTCAGTCGTTCAAGATACTGTTTTTCATGCCATCCACTGTCAGGTGAGCCACTAATTAATCAAATTCCCTCTAAGCTAACCGTGTATTCTTCTGATTACATTCTCTGAGCTTAAAGCCCTAAGTTTTCCAGAAGACTTGACAAAAAGGGTTAATATGCATATAAACCTGTCATGTTTCAGAAATAAGCAACACATATACTATAGTTCGGCGGCTAGTTAAGATTTGTTGTAGTTAAAGATACCGCAAGGGAACAAACTGTAATGATTTTTATTATTGATGAGTATTTATCTTTAAGTCTATATATGAATCTACACATAGCTGATCTGGTTTGTATTCATGTTAAGATCGGAGAATGTGATGACAGCAGATCAGGGAGGATATCGGAGAGATTAAAGAGGTTTGTGTATGGTTCTGGTTCTGGTGCGTTTTGAAGAGAATGAATGCCAACGGCTGCTTTCTGTGGAACTTTAATATGATCTCAGAAAATGTCGACTTTCTGTGCTTCATTTTCATAGACAAAATTTCCATGACACCAACTGATCTGCACACTCATGAGCGTGAGCGATTTACTCTGTAGCTTCATAAGAGTTGAGCATTGTAATTGTAATAGAAATTAAAGGCTCTTCTAAATAAATAAACAAATGAATATTTGTGTCTTCTTTTTTAAATTAGTATATCATGAATTAATCCAAAAGAATACAATTTCCCTACATAGACAAAGAAAATATCAACAGCTGTTATAGTGCAGCTACAAGCTCAATTAAACCTATGCCAATAACGTTCGTTATTATAAACAAAGATTTCTATCAAAAACTGATCCAAAGACCAAAAGAAATGATACCTAGTTTCAGCCTTACAGGGCTTTTACAGGTGCCAGAACTAGCAGCTGACAATAAAATTGAAAGGCACGTTATTGATGAGAATCTATATTTGTTTATATAGTAATTTCAGTTGAGTATAATAAATTATAAAAATAATTAATTAAGTAATAAATTTTAATTATAATTAATTATATTATAACATAATGTGTTTGGATACTATTTTTTTAAAATTAATTTTAATATAATTGAAGATGTTTAGATAATTTAATTAGAATTAATTTTTAACTATATAAATTACTATATAATTTAATATTTAAATATCAAATATTAATTTTTTTAAAGATACAAAGTTTAAATTTTATTAAGAAAAAAAAGAGAGAAAAGAAGAGAGTTAGTTTTATTTTTATTAAATTATGTGCCTTTTTTGTAATTTTTGCTTGGGCCTATCTTTGTAATTTTTCCCAAGATTTTTGGCAAGCGCTTCACGGATTCTCAGCTTTGCGAAAAAAATCAATTTTTATGAAAAAATTGATTTTTTAAAAGTCACCCTTTGAATAATTTCATGCAAAATTAATTTTTCGTCCTAAAAAAATCGATTAATGTGCTATCCAAACACACGCATACCATATATATCATCAAACCGGCCACTTGTCCGAAAACATCCAAACTGAGATTTGGTTTGGGTTTTAAAATCTTAAAGAAAACTTGAATGGTGGATTAAAAACATGTCAAAAGATTTAGAAGCACATCTATATAAAAGTTAAAAATATGAGTTTTTGTCTTAATAGATAAGGACAAATTAACGTTGAACATTTAACATTGAACTTTTCATATTGAATTCTGATAGCCACAAGCCCGTGAATTCTCAATTTATTAAGTATTAAAAATTTTAATAGAAAAAATTATTCTAAATTGGGATAAATTCCATCTTCTGCCTTTTGAAAAAGTTCTAAAATGCCATGCATTAATTAATTTAAAAGCTTATCCTTTTAGGTTTACACCGTTACCTACCCAACTGTCTGGTGGAAACTTTTTAACTTTGTTCATAAAAGAAAATTTGGGGTTACTACTGTGTGTTTACATCCTACCATTTATTGACTGTTCATCGTTTTACTCCCTCCGACAGTCCGACCTCCTCGTACATGAGGGCTAAATGTCTTAAATATTAGATTTTTTTTCTTTCAATAATTCCCTATAATAATTACTCTCATATATTCTCTCCGTTTCAAAATATGGGTTTTTTTAGCGGGAAAAAAATTAATTTTGCATGTCCTTTTAAAAACTTGATGCAACATTTTTTTTATTCGTTTTCTAATATAGAGTACTCCTTCAGTCATTTTTATAAGTCATTTATAACAATTTTATTAATATTAATGTAAAAAAAAGTAAAAGGATTAAAAGTATATAAAATGTCAAATATGTTTTTATATCATAAATCTAAAAAGTATTGTTATATTACTTTTTCTCTCTTGTAATAATTTTAAAAATATTTCTTAAATATTATTTAAAAAAATCATGTAGTGGCTCATAAATGAAATTAAATAAATATTTTAAAATGTATTTTATAAATGAGATTGGAGGGAGTATATTCTAATTTATAATCTCAGGTCATCATTCATGAGTGCATTTGTTTCTTCGTTTTATTTCTATTAAATAATTATAAAGTGGATGGATGGATTGAGGGCATATTTGGCAATGTAAAAAATATTGCTATATTAATCATGTTTCTTGATATATTTGCAAATATGTTAGTAGTAAATTGCCAGATTCCAAATCCTGTTCTGATCCTGGGAGATCCAGGTCTTGTGTCTTCATCTAAAGCCCTGGACCACTACTGCTAGGTGTCAGCGGTGTGAAACCACAACGTGTCAACTTTCCCAAAAAAGACGACATATCTCATTCATTATCATCGAAAGACTTCCATCTCACATTAAATTAATCATCAAATAACATCCACGTATCACGTGCGTGCTATGTGCTTTCATCCAGAAAAATATAAATTTAAATTCTCATGTTTTGTTTGTGTTTTATTATTAATTTTTATTTTTTTTATATTTTAAATGTTTACATTTTAAATTTTTATTGTTATTAAAAAATACAGAAATTAATAACAAAATACAAATAAAATATAAAGGCTTAAAGTTATATTTTTTAATCTTTATTTGTCCTCTACCGGTGGATGATGAGGACGCGGAGACACCTAAAGTATCATGTATATTAATTATTAAGTTGTTTTGCCTTATTTAAATCTAGGTTAAGGCCATGCGATATTTATAATTGCCCGGTTTCATGTAATCCACCATTAAAAAATAATTATGAAAACGCTTCAAAATCACTTCTCGTTTCTGGACACTCCTATTTGTCTACGAAAATGTTTTTGCTTTGGAAACGCTATTGTATGAATGGAGTACACTTTACGCGCTCCTATAAGACTACATTTGAATTTGGTGCCAGACTTCACGCACATGTATCCTGGCAAGAATGACACTTTGTTAAAAAAAAAAAAAAAGAAAAAGAAGCATTTTTTAGGAATTGATAGTAAAAAAATATCCTTAATAAATGAATCATTTTATATGTATTTTTAAGTAAAATATTCTATTAAATAAAAATAAATATAGAAAGATAATTTTAATTGAAAGACAGTTAACTAATTTGTCAGGAGTGATATTCGATTAGAAATACTATATATATTTTAACAGAGTAAGTAGATTTTAAGAGATTAAATTAATGATAGTTATGTTTGTGAGACAAATTTTTAGTAAATATGTTAAAAATAGCAATTTAAATAATTGCAAAATCAAGAACTTCAATTACAAATAAAACAACTTTTATATTATAACTGGAATTACTATACACTCTCTCTAGTTCTTAGTATAAAGTACCTCTGACGACTTCATAAAAATCAATGAAAGGTGATCGAACATTAATTTTGTGTGAAAATAAAATAAATTTTTAATTTTGACCATTTTTTAAATGAAAAATTATTTTCAAATTTGCAATCCCTATCATACCCCCTACATTTTTATTTGTTATTTCACTTTTGATTTTTTTTATAAGTAAAATTACACATCTCAATAAGTATTTATTACAAATTTTTTAAGTTACTCTTCATAATTTGAAATAATGAGAAACAATTAATGCATGTTTATATTGATTAATATATGATATTTTAGTCAAATTTTTTATTTTTAAATATATTATTATAGTTAACTAACTTTTTTGAACTGTATGATACTCCCTCTGTCCCAAATTATTATATACTTTTAGACAAAATCTCATATAATAACAAATCTCATTAAATACACTTAACAATCTTAACTTTTTTAAAATAAAAATATAAACTTTTAAAATATCTATCATTTAATATATCGAAAAGAGAAAGAACGAAAATTAATTATAAAGAGAAAGGATAATATGAAAATTAATACATTTAATAAAATATTAATTTATTTAAAGTATTTTATATTTTAGAATGGAAAAACTATTTTAAAGTGCCCTATAATTTAGAATAAAGAAAGTACAATTTTTTATATATCAAAGCAAAGGGAGTAATTTATGAGTTTAGATAAGAATAACATTAAAATATATAAATATTTAATACCTATCAAATTCTATGTATGAAAGTCTAAAAAAAAAATTCTTTCTAGAATATTAACGCACCCTAAAATGGGAACAATATAGAGAGTATAAGACAGAGAATTAGAGATACTTCTATAATCTCATTTATACAGCAGAGAGAGGAGAAAAAATTTGATTCTATTTGTAACATGTTTACTAATTTTTAATACTCTTCTTTATTTTTTTTTTATTAAATGCTATAAATAAAAATATTAATAATGATATTTAAGAATGAATATTTATTAAAAATAAATGTGTAAAAATTTATTAAATTTTAAGATAAATTTAATAAGATTTAAATCTTTTTATGATTTTGAAAAACATGTTAAAAGTAACTTATAGATAAAATAAAAGAGAGCGCTTCTAGACACCAGGTGACATCATTTTTCAAATCTAAATTAGTCGACTCTAAATGTATTATGCCTTATATTAAAATTAAATATAAACGGTTAAAATCTTTAATCTGAGAAAATGAGAGAAATGGAAAGCAATATGAAAGAAGACACACCACTCCCTGTGACGACCCCACCTGTAATTTATTCCAATCATCCACCCACTCGGTTCTCTCTCCTTCTCTCTCGCTTCTTGTCTATGAAAAACCATTAATCTCCTACATCCCATAGGTGGATCTGGTTCTTACATTGAATGTTGTTCAGATAGGAGATGGTGGTAACAGAGCTGGGACCATATCGGAGAGATTAAGGAGGTTTGTGTATGGTTCTGGTGCATTTTGAAGAAAATGGCAATGGCAACACTGATTTGTGGAAATCTGATGAGTTACAATGTGAAATAACCAGTTTCCGAGTTTGTAATGAAATAAGTTCATACTTCGTGTGTGTGTGTGTGTGTGTGAACTCATCATTCGATCTTTGTCATCTACAAACGGCCAGCAAAATTTCCATATGGCACCAACTGATCTCTGCTGTTCCGTGAGACTGATCAGTGTGTGTATCGTAGTTTTCACCGTTGTTCTGATTCGGTTGCTTGTTGTTATACTTCCTGCTCTAAAGTCTATGAATTGTGTTTCAGATATTATTAATTAAAAAAATTGTGTCTATTTTTTAAATGATGCCATGAATAATTTGAAAAATAGAGAAATCTTTGGGATTGTTTCCAAGTCGAGCTGGCTTTCCGCCCAGAACGTTCGCTAGTTCGTTGAAAACAACTCGCAATTGCATCTAT